TACATATATATGTATATGTATACATATATATATATGTATATATATATGTATATGTATACATATATATGTATATGTATACATATATATATATGTATATATATATATATGTATATGTATACATATATATATATATGTATATATAGACAGGGACTCGGACTCAGAATACAAAAATAAATACTTTTAATAATAATAAACCAAAAGGCTGACGAGGCAGCAACTTACAAAATATATTTGGGACGGGATCAGACTGGCAGGACAAGACAGGGTAGACCCAACGACGACGCGACAACGAACAAGACTAACGGACAGACTATATATACAGACAAGACAGGACGTGATTACAAACATCTGGCACGAGACAAGGGTGAAATTAATTGGATAAATGATGAGACACATAAGGGAGTACAGACAAGGAAGTCTCACAGATGGCGCCATCCTTACACTCTCAACTAACTTCCAAAGTAAACTATGCATCAAATGTAGCGTTTCTCCTACCATTATACAAAGAGGGCACCGCTTCCTGTCAACTGAACCGAGCACCCTACCTGCCAAATTGTCCCCCCAGCCCCGGTCAACAACAGCCACCACAAGACCCAACTTCACTTCAAGGTATGCATGTCGCCCACTGCATTCCCCCCTCTGCCAATTGCTGGCTATAATCGCTTAATAAAGAGACGATAGCCAAAAAGCTACAGATGTAGCACTCCGCTTCTCCCGTTCGTTGAGAACTGCCGACACCAACGTAGCACTAGGCTAGCGTGCAACACGGACATGTCTCCTCCCCCCCCCCCCTCCTCCCCGTTGACAAAAATCACAGAAGAGATGAGTGCCCTACCAAGGCAAGTCACCTAGGGGTAGAGCTGAGCGATATGGGCCAACATATATATATCTCGAAATACAATATATATATCAATATTTTTTTCTTTCCATAAAGTAATAACAAAAATATATTTCTGAGTCAAATCTTTGTCCCAGTTGTCACACAGCCACATTTATTAACAACAGCTATAACTGTACAATAACTTGTCTAAAAAACTATTTACATATATTAGATAGTGTATTTTTTAGACATTTATTTACATATAATAAAAAATAATCCTCTTCAGCTGGGGACAGCTGTAGCTGAGAGGCTAGAGCAGTCGTCCTCCAATGGGTGAGTTAGAGATGCTGAAAACAAACTTTAAACTGTCCCAGGTTCTGACGTGGGGGTGGGATGTCTCAGTTGTTCAAGGGATGAGGAGTTTTTTTTTTCTTTTTCAGAAACATATTTACAGAATGAACTACTCAGTTACAGAAATGAAAGTCTGTTACAAAATGACATTCAGGGACGCAGGTATATCTCTACATTTCTCCCACTTGCGATTTATAACCTGTTCCATGGTTGATGAATCGCAATCAGCAGCGTCCATGCATCAGTCATCTTCAAACGAAGGTTGAGGTAGATTTCTGAAAAGTCAAAGTTCATAATTTCCAGAGTTAGAAATCAGAGTCATTCAACATGGAGTAAACAGGAATAATTCCAAATATGAAAAGGAAAACTATCCAGATTGTTCCATGCGAGTTCAAAGGGATAATTCCACAACAAGGAAATAAAAAATAAGAAACGTATTCCATAGGGCGTTCACGATGTCCTCTGGAGGGCATGGTGTGGTTGACCAAGGGATGATGAGGTAGGATGGTACTCAGTGGGTGATTTCTGGTATCCATCTAACTAATTGTCTAAAAAATTCCTCACATAATGAGGCTATTGTTAAAATAAAACAAATCTCAACGCATGCATTTCTAATGTCAACTAAATTGACAAACTAAATTGTCCTCAGTTTATTTGAGTAAACAAATAAAATTATTTAATCGGGGATTCTAAGGCCACTGATTTTGTATATGCACGCGTGGACAAAAGGGGTCTATGGGCTCATGGCTAAATGTTTAGGGACATAAAGCATGCAATAGGAGAATTTGGGATAAAAGGAAAACAAAAATGGGAAGCTTGGAACTATGGGTCACTTGTGAGTTCCAATATTCCGGGGGCGTATGAGCTGGTTGATTCACTCACATCTAGTACGTCATCCAGCTGGAAGAGTTCTGCGACTGTCGGAGGGAGTCCAGTTCTTTTACGTCTGGTCAATCTGGACAACCGAGCGCTACACTTGTTTAGTTGGCCTTGTAGGGCTCTAGTACGACGGAGATAAAGGAATGCAATAACCGCGATGATAAGATATCCTAGAATAACCAAAGCCATCATCAAAGTGTCAGCTGTGGACCAGGCATAGCTTACGGTCTGGACAGGGGTTTTAGAATGTGTTGTTAATTCTTTCAGCACTTGATCTACAGGTCCTTTTTCAATTACCTTAGCGCCTTTGAATTTGAGAATTTCGATGGTAATTGCATCTAATTCTAAGGTGAAATTCTTAAAGAAGTCAGGGACTTCGAGTTCAGTCTCATACTGGTCTGGGTTGAGGTAATAAAGGGCTACTTCATCAATGTGGACTATGGCACCCTTAGGAACTGTAACCTACATCGTTTTTGCTGGATGATCAACGCGAGTGGAGGTGTCATGTTGGTCGTAGGCTACTTTAGCGTATCTGCCTGGGGTGTTGACTAACCAACGGGACCCAACTATTTCTGTTTGGGTCACAGCAACTTGACGATGTGGGGTCACAGCAGTGGCACATTTAGAGTCTTTTGATGCTGGGTCAATTCCGCAAATGCCAACTGTATTATCACACACGAACAACTTACTTGGGCAAGGATAGTGTATGTCCCGGGTGAGGGTGCACATACGCAAATTTGGAGCGATATACAGCTTAGGAGTACTGTCATGGTAAGCTATGACGGTCGGTGTGTTGATTTTGACTTGATTGTCACCATCCCAGTTTCCAACGTTTATAACGTTTTTTAGTCTATAAACGTTGTTTGTGGAAATGATGGGTAAGTTTATGAGGAACGCAATCTCACGAGCCTCTGGGTCAATGTGGAGTGGAACTGAGCTACCGAGCGTATAGGATAGGTGAGCCTGGAGTGGTGTCACTTTGTCTGCGGTAGCTGTGGTAAGGATCTCTTGGACCATGTTTTGAGACACGAGGTACGGTGGAATTCGGCAGATAGCTAAAGTATCGACTGAGGATCCGACCTCTCTAAGCATGTCGGTTAACAACGTGGTGAGCAACTGAGCGTGAGCATAATCAACTTCTATAACAGTCTTCAAAGTGTCTACCACTTTAAAGATCTGTGCTATCTCTTGGCTATGAGAGTTCAGAACCAAAACAATGTCTTTGACAGTTTTGCCTATCAGAGTAAGTTGTCCTCGTTGTTCATCTAACTGCTGTTGTATCACAGGGAGCTCATCTTTCAACTCATTAACATGTCGCTTGATGGCAGCAATATTAACAGCATTGACTGAAGAAACACCCAAACTGAACAGAGAGCCAATGGCTGAGGCAGCAGTGAGAAGTCCAGTTATAAAACTCTTCTCCCGTCTATTGGCCCCACTCAGCTCATCTTTGGTAATTGTGAACTTCTGAAGTTTTTCTAGCATGTACGAGGTGTCGGCTTCCGTATGCTGAATGGCCTGTGATCTCCAAAGTACACCAGCCCAGGAAGCAAGTTCCTTAGTTGAGGGAACATTCTTTTGGCACATGGCAAGGGGGTCGAATCTGACAAACACCCTCTGCGTGTGTAAACGGCAGTTGGTGATGAGCAATCCTGGCTGTTCTTTCAGTACCATGCCTGAGGAGGGTCCCAGTTCAACCATCTGAAGTTGAGTGGTACCGGCCAATCCCAGGAGTGTAAAGAAGCATAGTAGATTCGTCATGGTCCTAAGGGGAACAAATACGGGACGACATTAGCACAATGCTTCGAATTTAGGGAGGTTACATCAGATTGCAACATGTTTTGAAGGCGATTTTTAACTTTTGTGGTTAATAATCGTGCTTAGATGAGATCCAGTGCACAAGAAAACTGTTTGTTTGATTAACGTTTATTGAGTTAGGTCTGGGGTTTTATACCTTACCTATTTGTTTGAGGTAATATTAGATTTGAAGATTTGTAATTTAAGGTGTTATTTGAAGAAGAGTAATGTCTGTAGCTTCTTGGTGGTTCGTTTGGATGGGGTTTTAGTTGTCTACAGACTATCATTGGGTTTTGGTTTGAGCCTTGTTTGGCTTGATCTGGTTTCGGTGGACCCACTTGAAAACAGGTTTTTTCTGACCTCTGCTGATCCTGATTCAGTACACAACTGGGGACAGTTTGTCCGTTATCAGGTGTGGTCCAGTCCACCTTGGAAGGAGTTTGCGGGCAAGCGTTCCAGTTTTGGAAGCTTTTTGTCCAGTGGCTGGGGCAAAAATGTAGTACCAGACCTTTTTCCCCACTTGGAAGTTCTTCATGGGAGGCTTTTTGGTCATAGTAGGCTTTGCGTCCTTCAGCCGTTTTGTTAAGACGTTTTTGGACAAAAGCGAAGGTGGTTCTCAGATGTTGGTTCAGATCTTTCATGTACTGGTA